GTTTGAACACAACATAAATGTGTGCAATCTTAATGGTTATGTATAAAAAAAATTGGTACGGGATCAGGGCAAAGGACTGCCTCTGGATAGAGAGGAGACATGTCCCTCCAGCAAATGGTGGATTATAAAGATAAAGATATTAGGATAAGGTGCTTCTTCAAACACACCAGAAGAGATCATCAGAACCATTAGAGATGGTTGTGAGCCACCATGTGGTTACTGGGAATTGAACTCAGGACCTCTGGAAGAGCAGTCAGAGCTCTTAACCTCTGAGCCATCTCTCTAGCCCTCAAGGTGCCTAATTTTAATTAGTCATGTTAATTAGGAAAAACAAAGGGGGGGGTTCATTGGTGGATTTCTTTTTGTTTTGTTTTCTTTTGTTTTTTATTTTTGTTTTGTTTTGTTTTGTTTTGTTTTGTTTTGTTTTGAGACAGGGTTTCTCTGTGTAGCCCTGGCTGTCCTGGAACTCACTCTGTAGACCAGGCTGGCCTGGAACTCAAAAATCCGCCTGCCTCTGCGTCCCAAGTGCTGGGATTAAAGGCGTGCGCCACCACTGCCCAGCTCATTGGTGGATTTCAATACTTTGATATCTGGACTTTGAATAACAACCCCAGGAGAAGGAAGTGGCCAACTAAGGAAATAGACCTTAATGGCTAGCTTTAGGGATGTAATTTAGCAGTTTTTATCTAGGCAGAAGGAACTGGGGAGAAGGGCAAGGCCCACCAGTGCCATAGTTGCCATTTTTGGGCTAGCTAGAGTTCCTTTACTTCTGACCTGTGTGGAAACCTACACATATGTGATACTTATAAACATAACAGGCAGGCTGGACTCACAGCCAGATGTCCAAGGCTAGCTTAGGAGTGCAGACAATGTATAGTAGGATCAGAGTCCCTACATGAAGCCCTTGAGAGAATTACAGTCTTTTTAATGCAAAAAATAAGGGGACCTTGGGGCTGAAAAGATGACTCAGAGGTTAATCATACTTACTGCTCTCATATGCTTTTGTAGAGGACTACTATCCATAACTTCTGTTCCACAGGATCAAATATCATTTTTTTAAAGATTTATTTATTTTATGTATGTGAGTACACTGTTGCTGTTTTCAGATACACCAGAAGAGGGCATCAGAGTCCATTACAGATGGTTGTAAACTACCATGTGGTTGCTGGAAACTGAACTCAGGACCTTTGGAAGAGCAGTCAGTTCTCCTAACCACTGAGCCATCTCTCCAGCCCTTTTTTTTTTTAACATTTATTTATTTTACAATATGTGAGTACACTTCTTCTGACTCTTGATGTCCTCTTCTGAACTCTTAAGGCCCCGGCACTCAAGATTGTATATACATACTTTCTGGCAAAACTCTCATACACATTAAATAAAATAAATGCATCTAAAAACAAAACAAACAAAAAACAATTGGGACCATAAATATTGATATAAAGAAAGAAAAGAAGCCAGTACTCAAGGCTTCCTTTAATAGGAAGTAGTTTGTTGTATTGGTCATCCTCTGTATCCAAAGGCTAGAGCCCCAAATGCTATAGGGGCTCATTTTTTTCTCATATATGTCTACATACATTTCGATTGACTGTTTTAAACTACTAGGGAGTGATGGCTAGAATGGGGAGAGCCAGGGAAGAAAGGATCCACAGGAGAAAGTCAGTCTGCATGTCCACAGGAGGGTGTCGCTATGCTGGTCCGAAGAAAAGAGAGACACTGCAGGACGAATTCAGGCTTCTCCAACAGCAGGGGGATCAGCATCTCAAGGACAATGCGGGCTTCCTAGAAGCTTTTTATTGTTACATTAAAGGCACTTTTAGCAAGTCAATTTCCACATATCAAAACCTCTTATCTGAAGTAGTGCTTGACTTGAAAGACCGATCATCTAAGCAGTCTCACCCATAAGAGACTTCCTGGTTTGCCAAGCACGTCTCCTGACTAAGTTCTGCAAAGGCTCTGAGTATACTTCAAAAGAACAACCCCATAAAAATCTCAGATAACAATCACTGACAAAGGGCAACTTTAAAGCTTAAGTCCATCCCTCCAGAATTCAGGCCAAATACAACAGTCCTGCTAAGCTTCTGCTACAGGAGGGCACTGACCAACCACCTGACCAGGCCACAATGCTGTTTTGCATTTTTCTTCCTCTTAGTCCTTGGGAGACACTTGTCTTCCACTCACAAGAGGGCAGTGTGTGATGCCCTAAAGGTGAAGACCCAAGATGTTGGAGACAGCAGGAATGCAGCACATAGTGTGTCTGTTGAGAAAAGACACAGACAATAAGGGGTGCCAGCATGAGAAAGAGGCCACCTGAGCTGCAAACAGCAGGCCCTAGGGGCCGCCCGGGATCCACTGAAGCTCAATCAAACCACTGCAGCTTGCTGGACCTGATGCTACAAGATTTATTGTTTTTATAGTGGGGTTCCAGCCTCAGGCTGGTTCACTGCTGCGGTGCTTTCTCCTATTCCTCCCTTTAAGGGTGTTAATATTCACCACCCAACTGAGAGGTAAAAACAGAAGGATCAGGAGTTCAAGCTCATCAGCTACACAGTGAGCTGGAGGCCTACCTAGGATACTCAGGACACTACCCAAAACAAAACACTGGACACAGTGGCCATGGCACAAGCCCTTGGGAGGCAAGAACAGGTGTGGGGTGGGGGATATATAAGTATGAGGTGACTCTGTTTACACAGATTCCAGGACAACATAGTGAAATCTTGTCTAAAATAATTTTTTTGATGAGAACCACAACTCTCAAGGATACATGTCAAAAATTTATATGTGTTGCAAGATATTTGATCACACTGTGAACCCCAAGATTGTGTTATTTTTTGGGGTTGGGGCAGGGAGACTGTTTTTAGTTTTTTTAGTTGTGGTGTTGTAGAGTGAAAAATTATAGATACTGGGTATATAGAATCCTTTTTAGACATAAAATATTCTTTAGGCTTTCTTTACAAAGACATGGAGGCATGAAGCAAGTTAAGAATGTGGACAGACTAATTACGGGAACTGGCTAGAATGCAATTTAGCCAGATGGAACCAAGCTGAGAACCATAATGACAGGGCAAGGCCGAAGTAACAGGGCAGGACCACATTCTTGAGAAAGATAAGCGGACAGAGAGTTTTCACCTGACCCTGACTCCCGTAGGTTGGGTTCCTTTGGAATGTTCCACTATTTTCATGTTACACCACCCTAGCAACCTCTCACCCCCTCCCCATTCCTTGGTTTGTGGTTTTTCCCCTTAAAAACCCTTCTCAAACTGTCTGTCGGGGTCAATTCAGCTCCTGCGTGGGCATACGAATTGACCGGCAGCTAGCTGTCACGCCCTAATAAACAACCTCGCAATTGCTCTGGTACATGGTGTCTCGAGCAGATTACTGGGTGGTCGTGACTTTCTGAGACTTGAGAGAGGGTCTCCCCTCTGCGCAGGTCTTCAGTGTGGCTCAACCCTAGAACACACCTTTAATCCAAGAGCTTTCTGCTTGGGTATTGTAAACACAATTAAATAAAGTCAACCATAGGTCAAGAACAAGAAGCCAGTTGACAGAAACTTAACATGGACATATTAAGGAAAACAGAGAGAGAGAGAGAGAGAGAGAGAGAGAGAACTGAACAGCAAGAGAGGAGATTGGTGGTAGGACTTCAGCTGAGAAAGAAGGTCACCTGGGTGCTTTTTCTGCCTCTCTGAGCTACCAGATTTTCACCCCAGCATCTGGCTTCTGAATCTTCATTAGTAAAAATCAAACAATTGAGATGTTGTTTAAAACAACAACAACAGAGCTGGAGAGATGGCTCAGCGGTTAAGAGCACTGACTGCTCTTCCAGAGGTCCTGAGTTCAGTTCCCAGCAACCACATAGTGGCTCACAATCATCTGTAATGGAATCAGATGCCCTCTTCTAGTACATCTGAAGAGAGTAACAAATGTACTCATATACATAAAATAAATAAAAATTAAAAACAAAAACATGTATGCCACAAGTAAAACAGAAAGGTAGCAATGGTAGTTCCAAGAAGATGCAATGAATGAATCTGAAATAAAACAAAAGGTTGGATGTAGGGATACTACCTTCCAGTGATGTGCTGGGCAGAACTCATTTGTAACCTGTCAGCTTCTCGAGTCAGTTTCTACCAGAATAGTGTTATGACTTCAATCACAGATAAAGAAAGGGGAAAAACTGCTATGTTTAAGTAGTCAGGTGTCCCAAAATTGTTTGGTAAACGATGCTAGGAATCTAGAGGCCTCTCAGTCCTCTTTCAGGTGTATTGTCTGTGTGTGTGAGTGTGTGTGTGTGTATGTGTTCTCTGAAAATGTTCTCCCCACACGCACATCTTTTTGTTGTCATCTTTCAGTCTTTGAAACCTATCAGTCCGTCTCTATTAACATCTTTACTGTATCTCTTAATTTCTCCCTGCTTCCCATGTATTCTGATCGGTCCCTAGCGTTTCCATGTCTCACTTCCCTAATCCAAATCCCTTTCTGCTTCTCTCTTCTTCCTCCCGCTAAATTTTATGACATGACTCAGGTCCGCTCTGATTCTAATGAATGAACACCCTCCTACCTTTTCATTCACACCTATATCTCTGTGTGTGTTCACTTACATTCACTGTCTCCCTAGCATCCAGTCTCCGACCTCACAATTTTCGCGCCCCTCTTCTTCTCCTTCCCCTGACACTGTATACGGGTATCTCTGCCTTCCTGCATTGACATCTCGTTGAGTATTTGTGTTCCTGTCCCCTCCCCTTGGCCTCGCCACAGAACCGGACCTTTCCTAAACCAAGCAGCCTAGTCGTTACCTAGGATACCACCAGGTTTGGTCCCCTACCATGGAGACCTGCTCAATCCTACCCACCGCGCAGAAATACAAAAGAGATCCGGTAGTGCTGCATTTGCACACACACAACACCCTTCCGAGTCCCAGAAAGCATTTTGCTAAACCTTTCTCTCAGTGCTTCAGGAGGTAGCGCAGCAGACGCTCCTCTGGAACCGGTGGTTGCCATGGAGACGGAGAGGCTGACGGCGTCCTAGTGAGAGCGGTGATTGGCGCAGAACCCTGCAAATCCCGGGAAGGCCCGTAGAGAACTGACCAAAAAAAAAAAAAAATGTGGTGGGGGGCATGCGCGGTCTGGAAGGCGGTGCTACCATCCGTTGCCCCCCGAGAGGATTGTGCACGTCGACAGGGCCCTGACGCCTGGATTCGAGACCGGGAGTGTGGGAAGAGACGGCCAGGAGTGCGACCTGATTATTGCCACCAGCGCAATCCCCTGGGGACGGGAAGAAGGGTAGAAACGGAGGCGGGGTGGGGGAAGGGCAGAAGGGCTTGGAGCTGCGCGCAGAGCTGTCTGGGAGATGTAGTCTGGTCTGGAGGAAGCGAACGGGAATGCGCATGTTCACGAATGCACAGCCACCCTCTGAGCACTGAAGGGAGGCTGGGAGTCCCTTCACCGGGAGGCCTTGGGAGGGGACTGGGTAGAGTGGACTCTGGGATTCCGGCTGTCCAGCTAGACCTGGAGCATTGGCAGGGCCCCAGGAATTCCCTGCAAGCTGGCCCAGTGCTCTCGCGCTAGCGCGCTGATCTCGCTGCTCGCCACCGTTGCCACGGCGACTGGACACATTGGCACCCTAAAGCGGTGATGCTCGCTTAGACTTCTGGGAAATGTATTTCCGGAACCTCCTCTACTTGCTTAGTGGCTGTTCCAAGTTTCTCTCAGGGTTTCCAGTTGACTTAGCACCCTAAGGAGCAGAGATGTAACCCACAGAAATCAAGCTGCCTCTAAGTTGATGCCACCCCAATAAAAAAAATTAGATTTTCACAAAATCCCAGTTGCAGAAAGTATCATGGGAGAAGTCAATCCTATTTGCATGTGAGGAAACTGTAGTTCACATAGGCACAGCAAAAGTAGTATCCTTGCAGACTGTTGGCCCAGTGGTTCAAAGGCCTTGGAGGATCCCCCAGAAGTCCTCCAGTCACCTCCCAAACCCAGCTAAATTAAAGCGCTGAAGATGTGTATCGCTGTTAGATTTGATGAGTTAACTTCTGGAATTGGAAATATGTGGAAAGGTGTTTGCCTGAGAGAAGCTGAGATGGGGGTCAGGTGGAGTAGGGCTTTCCCCTAGACACCACACTGGGAGGGGAATGTTGGGGCCTGAGAGAGGGGCCAAGTCCAAGACTGGGTAGAAAACATTAAGAGACTTATTGGGAGTCCGGGAGGAGGCAGCAGTGGTACTGATGTCCGGATGCAAGTAGAGAGGCAGCTGCTGCTAGGGAAAAGAGATGTTTCTAAGCTTAAGCAGCAGCCTGTATTTAGAACAGAGTAAGCTACCAGACACTACATAGGCCCGGCTAAAAGGAGGTCTACAAAGCACGTGGCACATAAAGAGTTCCCACGGGTTTCTGGGGTGTGGCTGGCCTGTCAGTGCTTGTTCCCTCAGATGTCCTCTGCGTGGAGAAGGTCTCAGGATCAAACAACATAGCATGTGGTAGGCACTCAGTAAGCATTCACTGCCCCTGGCTGTCCTTATTACACCTGCCTCCTACTGTTGCTTCCCTAGGGACAGACACTGGCCTCAAAGACCTGATCTGATACTCCTGATGAGACCCACCTCAGGCCGTGCAGCCCCAGAAAATGAGCCTGCTGTGGTGAAGCTGGAGGACTCTGACAACAACGATGAGAGAGAAGGTACATTGTGGGACCCAGGCCCTGAGGCTGCAAGGCTACGCTTCCGGTGCTTTCGGTATGAGGATGCAATAGGTCCTCAGGAAGCCCTGGCCCAGCTCCGAGAACTGTGTCACCAGTGGCTACGCCCAGAGATACACTCCAAGGAACAGATGCTGGAACTCTTGGTGCTGGAGCAGTTCCTAGGTGCACTGCCTCCTGAGATCCAGGCCCATATGCAAGGGCAGTGGCCGGGCAGCCCTGAAGAGGCTGCTGCCTTGGTTGACAGACTTCGATGGGAGCTTGATGGACCTCGGAAATGGGTGAGTCAGTAGCTGAATAGAAGGTCGGGGCTGGAGCATTGTCATGTTTTGCCTCACTCTAGGAGTGCCATGCCCAGCCAGACATGCTCCTTGGTCATACAGAAGTGTCCACCTATAACAGATCCTTTGTGAGGCTGTTCAGGACAAGAGCCCATACCTGTATGACCTGTCATCCCCAAAGCTAGATGAGACACAAAGGGTACCAAGCAATCCCCTGTTACAGCAAATAGTCCTTTTGCTTTCTGCTAAGGATCGAAAGAGGGGAGGGGGAGGTTTAGGACTTTGGAGGAATTAGTCAGTCTGCATTGGAGTCGGTGCCCATAGACCATGGGTTGTACCCAGCCCCACACTCTCCCTGGTCCATGCATCTCCATAGGTCACAGTCCAGGTGCAGGGCAAGGAGGTCCTATCAGAGAAGATGGAACCCTCCAGCTTCCAGGCTAGACCTCACATCAACCTTCAGACTCCAGAGCCTGGGGCTGAGACTCCCCCAGATGCCATGCAGGAATTGCCGCTGAACCTACAAATGAAAGAGGAGACAGAGTTGATGGAGAATCCAGGTGAGAGCAGGCAAAGTGGGCAGGGCCTAAAGCCTAGCTGGGCAGAGCTACTCCACTGAGCCAGGCCCTGCTAGATGAAATAGTTCCAGTGTGCCTCTGGCCTTTCTTTTCCCCCCCAGTCCAGCCTGTACAGGCACTGTCCCTGACCACCACAGCCCCGTTTCCAAGCATCATGGGACAGGCTGACCCACAGAGATAGAGATGCACAAACAGCGCTTCCAGAAATCCCTATTGGACTTTATTCCCACTAGGCCCTCAGCGTCCCTGCCTTGTCCTTCCCAGCTTTGAGAGTGTGCCATAATCTCCCTTATGTCTGGAACCTAGCAGCATCTACCACCTCTGAGAAAGGTGGAAACTTTCTTGAGCTGCCTGCCACTCTTTCTCCCCAGAGCTCCTGGAGTCTGGGCCTCTTCCTGCTGTTCAAGAGGCTGCAGCCACTCTCCTACCTAAGGAGGCCCAGGTGAGACCTATACAGAATGGAAGCAACCCTGTGCCCTGAGAGCCTATAATGGGTGGGTGTCAGATAGGTCCTATGAAGCCAGCCCAGGCACAGTCCAACATTGACCGCTGTGGTTTCAGGGCCATGGGACAGCACTGGACCAGACCTCTCCTCACAGCAACACTGAGCCTGAGGTGCCCCCATGGAGCGAGGAAGACCCTATGCCCCTGTGGCATGAGGAAGTAGGGGGCATCTTTTCACCAGGTTAGTGAGATGGACAGGGTGGGACTGAGCCCTCCTCCTGATCCACTCCATCCATGAGCTTTCTGTCCCTACTCAAAACAGTCCAGTCACTGCAGTGCCTCATTTAGCCTTCTCTGCCACGGACCCTTTGGCCCTTTCTGACTTTGTCTTGAATCATCCTACCTTCCTGAAGACAACCTCTCCCAGTCATGGCATTCTTCATGGCCTCCACCTTGCCTATTGGATAACAGAGTAGGGAAGTTTGGGACCTAGCGAAGAGAGCTTACTAGCAGGCAAGGCAGTAGTAGTTCTGACACAGCATAGGCAACTACTGAGGACAGAGCTGAACCATGCCTGGTCATCCAGACTCCTGTCTTGGTTTACTTCTGTGCATGCACCATCCTGTGAACTCTGGTATGGGAGGTCAAACTCTGAGAGGATACAGATCGGAAACACATTTGTCTAGCCCTTGTTAGACAGTTTATCTTTGCATTGTTGGAGCTCAGGGATTGTGCATGCCAGGTCAGCACACTTTCACTCAACTCCACCCAGCTTCCCACCGATGGATTCTGGACAAGAACTCTACTGTTGAGTCATGCCTCCAACCTCTCCCTGGCAGATTCTAGGCCTTTGTCCCACCACTGAGCCATGTGTTAGCCTCCCCGCCTTGGCTGGAGTTTTACCACTGAGCTATGCCCTCAATCCCAAAACTGTTCTGTTGGACTCATTCTCAGGAATTCTTTTTAATTGTTGCTGTTGATAGACCCTCTCCTTTTGGAACTCACATATCTCACTAGTAGGGAATTGTCTTGAAATGTTTCTTGGAGCATGATGTGATTGATGGAGGCTCTTGGGCTCCGGGATGGTCCTCTAATGTTATCATTCCAGTTTTTGTGTATATCCCTCTTTGTTGTGAGTTCCAGCACGTGGTGTGTATCATAGCACACACATAGAGTTCGTATGGCGAACTGCAGGAGTCAGTTTTCTCTCTCCATCAAGATCAAACTCAGGTCATCAGGCTTGGCAGCACCCTAAGGCAGAAAAGAGCATCCAGCCTAAGCGCCTGCTGCGTCACAATTCACCTGTCCTGACCAGCCCTGTTTGTGTTGCACAGGGAGGGACCACTTTGTCCGGCATGGACCCGCTTCCCTCTTCATCCACAGCTCCAGTCTCTCAGCTCTCCTGCAGGCACACTGGCAACACTGCTTCAGGCCCCCCTGGCTGCTTCCTCCTCCTTGGGCTGCTCTTGCTGTAGACAACCATACCTCTTGCTTTCAAGCATCAATTCATCTTTGCCTCCATAATTCCTGACATGCCCCTCGGCGACTTACCTCATCCTCCATCTGCGTCTTCTGTGGCAGATGGAGTTTTGTGAGAGAGGGTCCTGTTTTGTTTTGAGACGGGGGTCTACTATGTCCTAGGCTGGCTTGGAACTCAGTATGTAGCTGAGATTGACCTTGAACAACTGATGCTCCTGCCTCTACTTACCAAGTGCTGGGATTACAGGAGTAGGATACATCTCCTGGTTTATGCAGTGTTGGGGATAGAACTAAGGGCTTCATGCATGCCACAAGCATTTAACCAGCTGAGACACGTCCTCAGCCCTATTAGTGATTTGGTGGGGGTGGTGGGGCAGTGGGGGGTTGTGTATATCTGTGTTTATGCACACACATGTATACCAGGGATTGAACCCTAGACTTTTGTACATGTTAAACATGCACTGTACTATTAGAGCTCTACTCCCAGAGATCTTTTTAGTACTTCATTATGATGCTACTTTAAATAAGGGACAGCATTGGCAGGCTAGTGACAAGCAACTTCTCTAAAGACACAGGCAGAAGTAGTTGATACACTGTGATACATCAGCAAGCAAGACTGTAAAGACAGCCTGTCTTCACAAAGCCAGTCTACTAGCTGCTTTGGGTAGCAGTATGTCCTCGTATGTGTAGTAATGATTTGACTTATCCTGAGTCAGAATTGGCTCAGCAGGACCACCCATCCTAAATCAGCATCAACACTTTGCAGCTAGGGCTTGTCGTACCTAGTTAGCAGGTAGTAGTCCAGGGGGCAAAAGCATGCTAATTTCACAAAGTTACAGGAGCTCAGAACAGTATCCATAGTTAATGCATTCACACGGTGGAAACTCCAAATGGTATGCAAAGAGTTCAACGGTGCAGTGCCCCATCAGCGTCCAGCAGCCAACAGAACAAATTCTGTGCCTTCCAGCAGACACAATATAATCAATCATACACTGCATAGCAGAGTATTAGTCAGCCCAATCCACAAACAATTATGATATTGCCAAAGCTTGATATGGTTCCACACATAGCACTTGGGAGGTGGAGGCAGGAGTTAGGCAGAAGCTAGAGGATTGCCGTGTCTTCAAGGCCTGTCTCTAAAGTTAGGGCTGGCAGGATGGCTCAAGAAGAAAGAGCACTCGCTCCTATGCCAGCAACTTGAGTTCAATCTCCAGGACCCACATGGTGGAAGGAGAGGAATCACTTCTCATGAGTCGTCTTCTGACCTCCACATGGAATACACGTTGCTATATATATGCACACACAGCAAAAATAATTATTTTAATGTAAAACCCAAAACCACTTGACAATATCTTTCTGTAGAGTTTTCCCTTTAGTTAACACATACCTGTACAACCAGGTGCTAGCCTTTTATGAACACAGTCCAACAAGTATAGAGTACACAATGAAATACTGTTCCGAAAGCACAGAGTAAACCAGAAATGGTAGCAAGAGGTTATGGGCCCTTAATCCCAACACTAGGCAGAGAAAGGCAAGCAGATTTCTGTGGATTTAAATACAACCAGGTCTACATAACAAATTCCAGACCAGTCAAGGCTATATAGTGAGACCTGTTGATTTATACCAAAATCAAAAAAGCAGAAAGATAAAAAGGGGTTTTTGGCCAGGCAGTGGTGGCATGCGCCTTTAATCCCAGCACTTGGGAGGCAGAGGCAGGCGGATTTCTGAGTTCGAGGCCAGCCTGGTCTACAGAATGAGTTCCAGGACAGCCAGGACTACACAGAAAAACCCTGTCTCGAAAAACAAAAAAAAGGGGGGGTTGTTTTGTTTTGTTTCTTTAATAGAGCTGGAGAGATAGCTCAGTGGTTAAAAGCACAGGTTGTTCTTCTAGAGGACCTAGGTTTGATTCGAAACACCCACATGGTGACTCAAAACTGTCCCAGAGAATCTGGCTGGCCATTGCAGGCACTGCACACACACAGGCATACATACAGGTAAAATTCCCCATACATATATAAAATAAAAAAATTTAAAGATGAAAGGGTTTTTGTTATTTGGAGTGTGTGTGTGTGCACACAAGCATGAAAGTGCAGTTTTTTTGGTTTGGTTTCTTTCTTTGATGTTGTTTTTCTCTGTGTTTCCAGGGAATCTTGACCCCACTTGTATTCAAAGCTGGCAACAAATTTATGTTAGTCTTTCTGCCTCAGACACCAAAAGTATCTGGGATTATAGGCATGCACCACTATGCACTGGCAAGAAAAGTTTAAAAAAAAAAAAGAAAGAAAATGTTTATAAAGGGCTGAAGAGATTGCTCAGCAGATAAGAGAGCATACTTTTTGCAAAGGACCAAGGTTGGATGCCTAGCACCCAGGTCAGGCAACCCCTTGTACATCCACCTCTAGGGACCCTGATACTCTCTTCGAGCTCTGACTTCACTGCATTCACATGCACATAGACATACACATATATACATACCTTAAAAAAACACAGAGACATAGTAGTGCACACTTCTAAGTGTTCTTAAGTACACTTTCAGATACGGAAGCCTGAAGAGCTCTATAAATTCGAGGCCAGCCTTGTCAACATAATGAGTTTCAGGCGAGCCAGGGCTATACAGACCCTGTCTCAAAATAAAAATAGTGTTTTAAAGTGAACAACCCTAGGGCTGGAAAAAAATGAATGCCTCACAACCATCTTAACTCCAGTTCCAGGGATCCAACACTCTCTGGCCTCCTCTGGCCCCAGGCATGTGCAAGATGTACAGACATACATGAAGGAAAAATACCCATACACACAAAATAAGCTTAAAATATATTTTTAATAAATAAGCCAGGCATAGTGACAGACACCTTTAGTCCCAGCACTTGAGAGGCAGAGGCACTTGGGAGGTTCCAGGCCACTGGTCTGCATAATGAGCTCCATCACAGCCAGGGAAGCATAGTGACACTGTGTCTTGAAATAAATAAATAAATAAATAAGAACAAATATTGCTTGGTGAGATGGTTCACCAGAATCCCCATGGTGAAAGGAAAAGATCAAATCCTCCAGGTTGTCCTCTGACCTCCACATGTGCCTTATAGGAGAAGTGTGTGTGCATGGCGTACACATATACACACACCAATAAGCAAATGATAGGTTGTTTTGGTTTTTTTTTTTCAAGACAGGATTTCTCTGTGTAGTTCTGACTGTCCTGGAACTCACTCTGTAGACCAGGCTGGCCTCGAACTCAGAAATCCACCTGCCTCTGCCTCCCAAGTGCTGGGATTAAAGGTGTGTGCCACCACCGCCCAGCTAAATGATAAGTTTTAAATATATATATTAAGAAAAAATGGGGGAGGCAGAGGCAGGCGGATTTCTGAGTTCAAGAGTTCGAGGCCAGCCTGGTCTACAGAGTGAGTTCCAGGAGAGCCAAGGCTATACAGAGAAACCCTGTCTGGAAAAACAAAAACCAAACAAACAAAAATCTCATGGATGCCCAAACGACCTTATTCTGATCCTGGTTTCATGCCATATGCTTGGTAAACAGCAGGGGTCGCCACAGGACTTCTCACAGCTCTATAGACTCCTGGCTCACAGTGGTCACTCCTGGGTCAACAGTTCTTTTGGATTGCTTCTCATTAAGTACTGGAAGACCCTGTTCACAGATCACTAACACAAGAAGAAACACAACTACTAAATAGGAATACTTAAAAATGGAATTCTTGGGATGGTGTGAAACACTGCTGTCTTAATTTATGTGAGGTTGTTTTTGTTTTTAATATAACATCTCATATAATTCACCTGGCCTTGAACTCGATTTGTTGACAGCCTTGAACTTCCACTTCTATCCCTCAGTATCTGGAATTGGAAGTACTTACCACCATTGCCGGTGCATTTTCTATTTTGATTCAGTTTTCCAACCCAACATGTGTTGTACCAGCAATGCATAGAAACTCTTAAGATTATGGAAACAAGGCTAGAGAGATAGCTCAGCGGTTAAGAGCACACTGGCTTCTCTTGCAGTCCCCAGCACCCACATGTCAGCATACAACCATCTGTAACTCCCATGTCAGGAAATCCAGCCTTCATCTCTGGCCTCTTCAGGCACTGACACCTCCTGGTCACACATACATGCAGCCCAAAACACCTATACATGGGGGGAAAAGGATGTGGCTCAGTGGTAGAATATTTGCCTAGCACCTGAGACCTCCTGGATTCAAATCCCATCTCTGGAAAAAAAAATAATAATTGCTGAGAACCAGAAACAAACTAGCCCTACTGTAAATCTTTCTAAGCAGTGACTAGCATATTCTATGGAGTCTAAACAATTAGTTATATTTTTTTCATGTTCATATCCTTCCACAGTGTGGTTGTCAGGCCACTGTTAGTTTATGGGAGTTCTGTAGTAAATTAATTAGCCCTTCGTCTCTGGAGAGTTGTTAGCTTGGCTTTGGATTCTGGTTTCCTTTGGTATATTGTAACTTATCTTACTTCCCTTGGGTGCTTCCTGGATTTTCTGTCACCCATTTTTATCTCCATCCCCAATGATCTCGGTGGATACTTCATCCCTCGATTATCTTCTTACAGGCTCACCCTGTAGTCCATTGTGCCTGAGGCTAGCACCTTGGAAGGCTCACTCTGTAGCAAGGAAATACTTCTACATAGACAGCTCCCATGTTGATCACATGTAGGTCATGTTCATCTCATCTCTAGCCCCCAAGCCTTCATGGAATCTCCTTGCCTGGGTCATCTCAAATGTGGCAAGCCTAAACCCAAGACTAAAGAACTACATTATTTTAATGAGGCCTGTTAATGTCACCTCTACCTTTTTTTTTTTTTTTTAAGATTTATTTATTTTATTTATGAGTACATTGTAGCTGACTTCAGACACACCAGAAGAGGGCATCGAATCTCATTATGGATGGTTGTGAGCCACCATGTGGTTGCTGGGATTTGAACTCAGGACCTCTGGAAGAGCAGTCAGTGCTCTTAACCGCTGAGCCATCTCTCCAGCCCTCACCTCTACCTTTTATTGAATCTATATTCTTCTCTGCATTTTCCAAGACCCTCATTGGGCACCTAAACTGGGCCCAACTGTCACCCCAGAATTCTTCCAAAAAAAGGTTCCCATCCCCGGACGACTTAAGTCAGATAAGAAAAGCCTTTACACACACCTCAGTGTTTCCCTCAGGGCTCTGCCCATCTCAGGGAAACTTGTTCAGATAGAACTACCACTCTTACCTCCTTTCTGCCTCACCAACCAGTTCCAAGCCTTTATAGTTCAGTCTCCCAGAGTTCCATGGGTTAGCACAGAAAGCCAGAGTCTCATAAAAGAATGGGTCCCGTTATGCAGGGTTTACACTGCAGATGGACAGCATCACAGCAGAGCCAGATACGGTGAGCCCCCACCTCCATGTCCCCTGGGATCTGGACATGGCTAGCTTCTCTGGACAGATGCAGTCCCCTACCAGGGAAGGTGGCTTTGCCCATTCCCTCGTACTCCCCAGCGACCCAGGAGGCGAACAGGACCCTGCCTGCGAGGATCCCTGCCCTAGTATGGGCCCAGCACTGGTGGCGACTCGCTGGCATGCCCCAAGGGGCCGGAACCCAAACCACCCTAGCACAGGGACTGGAGCGATTCGAGGCGGCCGCTGCGACGTGTGTGGCAAGGTGTTCAGCCAGCGAAGCAATTTGCTGCGGCACCAGAAGATCCACACAGGCGAAAGACCGTTTGTGTGTGGCGAGTGTGGCCGCAGCTTCAGCCGCAGCTCTCACCTGTTGCGCCACCAGCTCACGCATACTGAGGAACGGCCTTTCGTGTGTCGCGACTGTGGCCAGGGCTTCGTGCGCAGCGCCCGCCTGGAGGAGCACCGGCGCGTGCACACGGGCGAGCAACCGTTCCGCTGCGCAGAGTGCGGCCAGAGTTTTCGGCAGCGCTCCAACCTACTGCAGCACCAACGCATCCACGGTGACCCGCCCGGCCCGGCGCCGCCCATCCTGCCCCTCGCCGGAGTCCCCGAGCCCCCGGGCCCTTTCCCGTGCAGCGAGTGCTGCGAGAGCTTCCCACGACGCGCTGTGCTGCTCGAGCACCAGGCGGTGCACACCGGGGACAAGTCCTTCGGATGCGTGGAGTGCGGCGAGCGCTTCGGCCGCCGCTCGGTGCTGCTGCAGCACCGGCGCGTGCACAGCGGCGAACGGCCCTTCGCCTGTGCCGAGTGCGGCCAGAGCTTCCGGCAGCGCTCCAACCTCACCCAGCATCGGCGCATCCACACCGGCGAGCGGCCCTTCGCCTGCGCCGAATGTGGCAAGGCCTTCCGCCAGCGGCCCACGCTCACGCAGCACCTGCGTGTGCACACCGGTGAGAAGCCTTTCGCGTGTCCCGAGTGCGGCCAGCGCTTCAGCCAGCGACTCAAGCTCACGCGCCACCAAAGGACCCATACCGGCGAGAAGCCCTACCGCTGCGGTGAGTGCGGCTTCGGCTTCACGCAGGTGTCTCGGCTCACCGAGCACCAGCGCATCCACACAGGTGAGCGGCCCTTCGCCTGTCCCGAGTGTGGCCAGAGCTTCCGGCAGCATGCCAACCTCATTCAGCACCGACGCATCCATACAGGCGAGCGGCCCTACGCGTGCCCCGAGTGTGGCAAGGCCTTTCGCCAGCGGCCCACGCTTACGCAGCACCTGCGCACCCACCGGCGTGAAAAGCCCTTCGTCTGCCAGGACTGTGGCCGCCGCTTCCACCAGAGCACCAAGCTCATCCAGCACCAGCGCGTCCACAGCACTGAGTAGCTGTACGGCACCGAGTAGGTCAAAACACCTACAGGGTTATTGTGAGCCTGGCATCTCCCAACAGGCCGGAGTAGAGCCTGGGCTTCAATAAAGAGATGATGCTTCCCGAACCTGCACAGTTCCTCTGCCCACCTTACCGCTGTTTCCGTGCTGGTATAAGCTCTGCATGCAAGGCTTCCAGAGGGGACTACACACCCCCTCCCACAGCAGCCCTCCCACATCTGCTTTCTTGTGGGATATACTCTGTAGCATACTTCTGGCTTATACAGAGGGGATGCCCACCCTCAGATGGGGCAGAGTAGCCACAGTCACAGAGGAGGAAAGGGTTCTCTACATCTGCCATGGGACTAGACAAGAGAGAGGTCTACCAACTATGACACTGGTGGGTGACTGAAAAGGGTAGTCCAGCTGGGTGTGGTAGTACACATGTGTAACCCCAGCATTCAGGAGACTTAGACAGGAGGATTGCAGAGAGTTTGAGTTCGGTCTGGGTGACACCATAAGCTGTTATTTCAAATGCACATATTGAGTGTGGTGGCACATACATGTGACCCCAGCAGTTGGGGGATAGAGAGACAGGATAATTGCCAAAAGTTCAACAGGTAAGTCTATGAAACAAGTTCCTGGATGGTCAGAGTTGCATATCGAGAACCTATCAAACAAAACAAACAAACAAACAAAAACCTGCCAAAAACAGAAAATACAAACATGGTAGTGTGATGGCTCAAGACTTGTAACCAATCCAGCTATTCAGGAGGCTGAGGTAGGTGAACTGCTAGCTATTCCAAGGCCTGCTTGGGGCCCGGGGCTTTGCACTGGGATGGATCAGAGGTAAAGCCACTCGTCGTCAAGCCTGATAACCTGTGTTTGATCCCTGGAACCCACATGTTGGAAGGAGACAACCAATTCCTGAAAGTTGTCCTCTGACCTCCACAATCTGTGTTTTCTGGGTTATGTTTGCACATGCACATACACAAATAAATAAATGGGGAAAGAAAAAAAAAACTTTAAAGGAGGCCAGAGCTTGGAAGTTTGATAGGCTAGTATTCACCAGGCCCTGGGATAAATGCCTTGTGCTCCCCCTAGCCCCCAATTAGGTTTTGAGGAGCATTTTTATGAGTTGGAGAGGAACACTAGAGATGAGATCTCGGTTGCTGCTGAGAGGAGAGAGATGAACAGGAAAGAGAGGAAGAGCAAGAACCATGCCATTTGAGTCAGGGTCCCCAGAAAGAAGGCGGGTTCAGCAATGGGTGTCAGCAGTCAGCTGGATGGGAACAGAGGGCTGGGGTTATCAAAGAGAGTGAGAGACTGTCTGTAGTACCAGAGCAAGCACAAAGTTAGGATTTCTGCAGGTATCCAAAGCTTTCTGAGGTAGAACTCAGAAAACTGATCAGGCTTAGCAGTGAAGATCTGTAAGCAACTTCCCAGTGCTTTAAAGTAAAGTGTGAAGGGGGGTGGAACTTGGGAGTAGCCATTTGGGAGCTTTGATCGTTGAGCATCCTGTCCCAAAGTGATGGAGAATCCTGAGGAAGAACCTTTAAGGCTTTCTTCCCAGGGAGCTCAAAGGCCTGGCTCAGGGTGGTGTAGAATTCTATTAGAAAGGCCTTAGCTGCCAGGTGAAGAGATTGCTATACCTGCTGGCACCTGTTTCTCAGAAAGGCCTCTATGGAGTCTCTGCCCTACAGTGAAGCCCAGATAGACAAGTCTAGAGCCCAGAGGCAGGAATTTAGGTGGTATCTCAGCCTTTGTCAGGAGACAGGAACTCATGGTGTCTTCCCTGACAATCCCACCACATTCCAGAGCCTTGGGAGGACATGGGCCTCCAAAGGGGTTGCCTACCTCTCAGGCTCTCCATCTTGCTCTGAGCCAATTCCCATGATGACATTGTTTCCCTGTGCCCAAATCCACTGTCCAGTCACTTTCATCCTAACATCACCCCACCCCCCAAGCCCTCACACTGTCATAAGCAGGCAAAGCTTTCCTCTTGCCAGTGGGAGGAGCACTGAGGAGTGAACATGGGAGGTGGCCATGATACAGAATGGGAGGTTTAACATGGAAATTCAGACATGTCAAGTTTTTCCTACCCTCACGGGTTTGCAGCCAACAGGTACTAAGAAAGGTGAGTGGGACTCCCAAATTAGAGAGCACAGGCTGCAGGCCCAGGACCAGTTGCTCTATCCTATGGTATTTGTTCCCCTCACTCCAGCCACAGGCTCCTTCCGCCATGGCTCTGTTCATAGCTCTACTAGGGTCTCCTTCATCCTAGGAAGTCTTCAAAAGAGTGCATTCAGCAGGAAGTCGTAGGAAATACAGTTGACAGCAGTTTACATGATCCTGGACACTTTAGGCCTAGTGCTCCATGACATCTCCTTTGCAATAGCCATATTCCTTCCCATCTCACTGGTCATGACTTTGACACAGTTGTTCCACTTTTTCCAAGGGGTACTGGGGTACAAGTAGTCAAAGGAGTCCCATGTAACATGACTCAGCTCAGGCCCTAAGCCCCAATTAAGCCTTTTCTCTGGGTAGCTGTGTCAGATTGGCTCGGGCCTTGGCATCACCAGAATACCATTTTTTGTTTGTTTGTTTGTTTGTTTGTTTTTCGAGACAGAGTTTCTCTGTATAGCCCTGGTCGTCCTGGAAGTCACTCTGTAGACTAGGCTGGCTCAAACTCAGAAATCCACCTGCCTCTGCCTCCCGAGTGCAGATTAAAGGCGTGCGCCACCACTGCCCGGCTGCTAGAATACCATTTTAAGGGCAGTGTGTCCAAGCTACTTCTGTGCGGATAGTTTTAATTGTTCTTACCACTTCATCTTGACACTCCAAACATGGACCTAGCATCAAGGTCAAGTAGACAAGCCAAACCAAGTCACAGAGAGGCTGATCCTGTGCAGAACAAGGGGGTCCCCGGTCCCTGAGGTACACTCTCGTTCCCCCCAGCTGTCAGCCGTGAGGGGACAGGGACACAGCTTCATGAGGCACTCCTTAGCACTCCTAATCTTACAGAGATCTAGACTCAGGACAAACTGAGATTCATGGCTCTAGGGCAGAAAAGAATTTCAGCCAGTAGAAAGCAAGGTATGGATATTTTAATATAAGCTCTAAGCATGAGAAAAGTGCTCAGAAAGAGACAACCTTAAACCGAGTGTTATGTTTTCAGAGGGAAAAAGGGGGGAGGTAGTGTATATATAGGACCCTCAAGGGATAGCCTCAATTGTATTAGCATTAACTATAATACCTTTTTCATGGCTCTCAAGTTACATTCCAAGCAGTTGCTAAGAAACCTTTTTCCTTTCCTCTTTTGAAAAGGTTAGAGAGTAGCTCCAGAGATGCCTTGGATGGGACTATACTCGGATAAGGTAAAACCAGAAGCTACTAGAATTGTACACGTTTAGGACACATCCTTTTCCTATCAATGGAGTTTCTGGTGAGATTCCTAGAAAATTGCAGGTCCACAGCTGAAAGGGGAGAAATGCCCTGAAGCAGCTGTTAATTATACTGGCATTCCTACTTCTCCAAGGGAAAAATCAGCTTCAACCAGGCTCCTGAGTCAGAGGCTCTATTCCTTTCTTAAATCCCCATAATTTTCAGTATTGATCTCTCCTACCTCACAGACTGCAAAAGCTCCTGAGCCAAGCTAAACAGAATTTAGAATCCAATCCAAGGGGTAGTGAAAGAACACAGGCAGGCAAGAGCTACCCCAGTCAGTAGAACTGCAGGACCAGAAAGATTAGCCAGAGCCCCATCTAGCCACACCATGGGACTCTGGAAGGGTCAGAAATGGAGGAATATACCTGTAATCACAGACTCAGGAGAGACAACAGGAATAATGTTAGTTCAAGATCAACCTAGACTACATGCTGAATTTGGACTACAGAGATGGATCCTATCCGTAAGAAAGCAAGTCAGAAAAACAGCAGCTGTACAAAAATAGTCAGCATAGAGTAGGGTAGCTGAGAAAACAGTAATGAACAGTTCTAGAGTGATTTGTCTGGGTCTCAGAATGGACTAGCCTTAAAAAGTCAGGAGGAGGAGGAGGGTACTGTCGGCAAGGGTGTATGAAGTCCAGAATGTAGAGCCGTGGGTCATGCTGAGTGACACAAACGCTATCAGATGGCAAAGAGTCTTTATAAGAGCAGAACAGAGTCCTAACCTGTTCCGGCCGGCCATGCTTTTCAAGCTGTGACCAAACAAGCAATAGAAGCATTTAACAGCGACTCTGGCTTCTGCCAGTTTCCTAGATGACAACCAGAAGTCACTGACCTATCGTGAGCTATTTCCTTCTGCCTCCCAAGCACCCTAAACTGTGATTGGATGCAACTTCACACAACATAGGTCAATCAAGAGGCACAATGCAACTTCTGCTGTTCTCTAGGCCGCAGTCATGAGTCCTATACCCACATCCACCTTGGACCCTAGAACTACACGGTTGCTCACTGTTTGTTGCACAATGGAAATCTATTTTAAGGAACAAGAGTCTCGATGTGTTGCCTACGGTGTCCCTGAACGCCTGGGCTCAAGCCAACTTGATGATGCCTCAAGCCTCCATAGCAATTCGAGTTTTAAACTAGTTTACATCAATCTGAATCTGGGATTGCGGTGCACCCTTCGGCAACGTCCCTTATAACGGTCCAGACTCTCTGCCTTTGCTGAGCCCTCAAAGGACTCCAGTCTAGCCCGTTCCCGCTGCGCTCCGCTTAAGGGCAAGATTGAATAGACCCACCGAGAGCCAAATGGCCACTACCTGCCCCGCTCAAAAATGGTTGCAAGCACTGCTTCCTACTCTACTGGGTGCGCATCCCAGGAAGTACCCGCTAGACCGCCGAATAGTCACCTCCACAAACGGAAATACCCGAGCTTAACCGAAAAAGACCGAACCTCAAACTACAACGAGGAGCAAGCAGGGGGCTGCAAGAGTTGCGCAGGCGCAGAGCGCGTCTGAGACGGGAAAAACGAAGCGGGCAGGTGACGGAAAGTGCCGAAGCGGCAGGGCGCCCGAGGCCGTTGCCGACCTCCGCATCGAAGCCGTGCCTGCCGCGGAAGCTGAGCCTCCACCGGTACCCTGCGGTACCCTGCCACGGCAAGCGTGGCTGCCGCCTCCTCCTTCCACCCCACCGCAGCCTCCTAGCAGAGGGAGCAAGTAGACGGGAGAGCGGCGAACCGGTAAAGGCCGGCGTCCGCAGCCGCAGCGGGGCGTCACAAGACCCGAGCGGAAGAGGGGGAGGAGGGCGCAGGGGCCGTAGCAGGGGCGGGGCCGAGGATCGCCGAGTCCTCCCGAGCACCTCCGAACATACCCGAGGTGCTAAGCCAGGCCACAGCCGGACTACGGGAGCCGAGGCGGGCCGTGCGGTGGGCGCGGAGCAGCGCGGCAGGTCGGGCGGGCGGCAGCGGAGGAGGCCGCGGTAGCGGGTCCGAGGAGCGGAAGCGGCGCAGGCGGCGGCGGGGGACCGGGTGGCCGGGGTCCCGGGCCCCGCGGCGGCTGCGGCGGCGGCGGCGGCGGCAGGATGATCAAGCTGTTCTCGCTGAAGCAGCAGAAGAAGGAGGAGGAGTCGGCCGGCGGCACCAAGGGCAGCAGCAAGAAGGCGTCGGCGGCGCAGCTCCGGATTCAGAAGGGTAGGGGTCGGGACCCTGCGTTCGAGGTCAGGGACCGTGGCGTGAAAATACGGCCGCTGATATTTGGTATTGGGTGTCAGGGTTCGAGGGTTGTGATGCGGGACGGGGGTGCGGTCACTAGGGAGGGTCAGAGATTGGGGCCGAGTATGGGGCGTTGGGATACTCGGGCCTGGAGTGTTAGGAACCCGGAATCTGTTAGGGGAGGGGTATAGTTTTGAGAGTCAGACAGGAACTTTGCTCTGGGGTGACGGGCCTTGAAGATTGTGAAGGTTACGAATTGGAGAAAAGTAGAAGACGGTTTAGTGTTTTAATACTGGGGACTGGTGGAGGACTCAGGTCTAGGGCGTCAGGCAGAGCAGTTTGAGTTTGAGGTGAAG